TTCGTATTAATTTGTGAAGGATTTCAAAAAACCATTTATTTTGAATATATTTATATTTAGATTCATGGCTTTTATTTTGAATATTTAATATGAATAAAATAAAATACTGGACATATATTTATATTTAGATTCATGGCTTTTATTTTGCATTAGGATTGATTTTTTCGTCTCATTTGATTCGTTATAAGAGAATCTAATTGCAATTTCGATTAAACCTGAAATAGTAACCTTACTTTGATATGTGTGTGTATATATATATATATGCTATTTATTTTTTTAATTTTATTTTCAAATCTCTGGTATTTCTAGTGCTTAGGAATTTTACAAGCAACAATGAAGCTTTGATTATTTGAACTTTCAAAAATATCTTGCGTAATTTGGACCTGAATATAAAAGAAAACTTGGCTCTTTGCAGAGAGAAAGGAAGGGACTGGTTGATTCCCAGTCAGTACAACATTTTAAAAATGACATCATTTGATCAATTCAAAAAAAAATAAAAATAAAAATAACTTGTTATCATTTAACAATGTCAAGAGGGTCGATACATTGCAATGTAAGTATTTTAATGTCAAGAGGGTCGATACATTGCAATGTAAGTATTTTAATGTCAAGAGGGTCGATACATTACTATTTTAACATGTAAGATACAGAAAATGTCAAGTATCAAACACCACGAAACCATCTTTATGTGCGAAGTATATATATATATATAGAATGGTATCGAGACCATCAATCAGCCTGACTCTCGGGCCGAAAACCGCCGCGGCCGCGCAGCATCCCGCGTCCAGTCCACGGGCTGCGTCAGCGACAACCGCCGTTAGGAGAAAACCGTCCTGGCGTTAGTCAGCGGCGACGCCGCATCCACGGGCTACATGGAGAGGCGGACGAGTAGGCAAGCAGTTGGTGCCGGCGCCAGATCCAGCACTGTACTGATCCGCAGGTGACCGCTTCTACTTCTTCTTTTTGGGAAGGATTCAACATTGGTTGTTACTTCCAGAGGTCACTAGCTTTTTCTGGTTGTGTTATCACGAGAAACCGAAACCAAGCAAGTCCTCTAATTACTGACAACTCCTTGCACGACAGTCGCGGTGCGATTGTAACTCTTGGACCGAACAGACTCCACCACGCTTCAGTTCTCGGCTCGGTATCGTCAAACTTCACAATGTCACGTCATGCAATACAAGCATCGTCGCGCTTCACAAGATAGATATCAAGGTTTCAGTCTGGAAGAAAGCTGATGCTGGGAATGGATTCTCCGAAGGTTTTTCCCGTCCATTGTAAATTCATCATCGAGCGAGCTTAGCATTGCAGACACAAGTTTCCCGGGCTCTTCTCAGTTGGAGACTATTCACAACTCCCCCTGCGTAGTTGCTCCAAGGTGCTGGTAATATGGCTCAGAATGCAACTCGTCCTTGAAGGATCACACAATGAAGGGGGCTTCGGTTGATCGGAAGGAATGAAATGAGAACAATCTGAATAATACTAATAAGCAATAAAGAACAATACACTCATCAGTGTCTGCTGTATGTAAACAAACATGCATTGAAGCTCTGGCTAGGTTGAGATCTCAGCTAAAATAAGACGAAATGCGATTTTAAAATGAAGCTTTATTTCTTTCAAGTATGAAGACCCGAAGTTTGATGGACCTACGGTTGACTTGCACAATGCAAAAAATCGAATAAAAAATTAAATTATGGAGTGTACTTTTTGATGTTTCTCAGCCTTTTTTATTTACTGAATAACATGGTTACAATCTTAAGAACATGAAATAAATATCTATTATATAAGGCAGCTTAGGAGACAAACAAGAAGAGATAAAAACGCTCTATGATTGGCCGCATGCCTCATCCTTTTTGTCAAAAGTGAAGCAAAAAAGCTAACTCAATCTTTTATCTATCAAAAATCAAACAAAGTAGCTGTCTATTTGAAATTGTGCATTTGTGCATTTGTGCAATTTGTAGAAACAGTACCGTGTCTAGGTGAATCGACGGCCGCATCTGTAGTTGCAACTCCAGATCCACGATGTTTGCTCACATCAACGAGATCTGCTTCCACTTGCTTCCACTTCCCCAGGTGGTACCAGTTATCTTCATGCTTCTCTGTGGGTGATCAACGTCCATGTTCACGAATACCACATTTGAGATTTTAACCAGTATGTTTTTACATGCAGATGTCCTTTGTGAAGAATAAATTGATGTTAAAGACTATCACCTCGATGCGGGATGCAGGATTTATGGTCACAGAGCAGGTACTTTCACACTCTTAAACCTTCAGAGTGTTGCGTGTTGCATCTTAGATGAAATGACTTCTTGAAAAATTAGCCTCTTTATCAATCTATTCGCTTTTCTTAGACAAATGTTGGTGATTGAAGGTCCAAGCAATTAAGAATGTGTCAGTATATGTCTCTCAGCTACGAAGAGTTGGGCGAGAACATTGTAAACTTCATACTTTTGCTCAAGGATATGTATACTGTTCTACTGTGGCTGTAGGGCGATAAGAATAGAATTATTCAATTTCTTGAAATTCCCTAATTTCATGTCGAATGTAATGCTAGCAATTGAATCTGGAAGCGTCTTAAGTCAACATTAATACAGTGCTTCACATAACCTTAAACCGGTCATTATTATAATCCTTTTGACGAAGAATGTTAGCAGTAATCTATACAAAATATTTACTGGGCAGAACACATTTTTCAGTTGTAACCATGGCATTACGTACAACGGATTTCATAGTGTTTGAACTCTTGCGCGAAGTATACATGTGGACGGAGAAGGACGACCTGTTCGTCATCAGAGCCGAGAAGAAGAAGAAGCAAACCAGCTCTCTGTATAATGAGATTTATCAGTTAGTAGGGTTTTACAGTGTCTTCCAGGGCGTGCTCCTCACTGCGGTTGCGCAATCAAACCTATTGACCTGCCACAACTGGTGGACGACTGTTTTTTCTTAGCTTATTTACGTCTCTGGTAACAATCTGCGGGGTGATTCAAAAATTTAAGTTTATTATTGAACTGGAGAATAACATGAGCAGCGAAGATCAGGTCCTTCACCTCTGCTCTACTCCGCCTTTGTGGACTGGGTTCGGATTCTCGAAGACAAATGCTGGAACCACCCCACACGAGGCGAGAATTAACTTCTAGATTACAAAGGACACGAGCCGAGTATTGTGGGTCATCTGCGAAAGCTGGAGTTACCACAGAATTGAGTCGTGGCTCGGGAATCTGTGCGAGGATGGCCGCTTGCAGGCATGTTTTACATTGCTTGATATCAATGTTATTTTCGCTATGTTAGAGCTATTGTTCGTGAGACTTATCATGTCGAACTCGAGGCAAGGGATCAGCTTTTGATGGATCATGTACTCCACCTACCTGGCAATGGCATCATCGCTCAATGGGGGCAAGTAAGAGAAGGTCTCGAACCTGGTCTGGCCAATGGGATTCCACACCTGCATGCACTGCACGAGGCTGCCGTTCTGGACAGAGCTCAAGCTCTGGGTCTTGCTAGCGGACAAGGTGATTTCTGGGAAAAAGATCGACCTGACGTACCCAGTGCAGTGGGAGGATACCAACATATCGTTCATCCGACGATTCAACACGTACCTGGAATACCCGTTCAATGAGCGCCAGATGGGTGTTAAGAGAGAGCGGAGGGATGAGTTGCAAGGTCTGTGTAGCAACTGAATAACTCAAGGGGCTTCTCGGCAAGCTGTGCGATACGAGGGATTGGAATTGTTATCTGCTGGAACTAATAATTTTGTCTGTTCTACCATTTGTTTGTTTCCATTTCACGAAGGGGTTCTAGGAAGAAAATCATAGAAATCTTATTTGAAACAAGCAGCATGATGAATTTGAGGGTTGAAAATAAAACAACTGTTTTAAGAAAATTAAACTCCATGCATTTCAATCTTTCAAAAAAAAAAAATCATTTTTTCAGTTTTTGTTTAGTTTTTTTTTGGGTTATGATCATTGTTTATGAGTGGTTGCGCAGGGATGGCATCTTCAGTGATTATTTTTGAAATGTGTTAACCTTAAAACGTGAAAAAATACCAAAAAAAAAAAAAAAAAAAAAAAAAAAAAAATGCACTAGTTCATCATATACTGTTGTTGTCTGTTGTGGAAATTTGACACAATGTTTTTTTTTTGATATCATATATTTAAAATAATGATAAAATGATCCTAATTATAATTTTTAATTTTACTTTTGGAAAAAAAATATTTTTTACTTAAAATGTCAACTTTTAATAATATGAAATAAAATAAATATTTAACTATTGATATTAATATGAAAATTTATTTTTATTAAATTACCCACATCTAATACTTTATTATTATTAAATCTTTTTATTTATTATTAATTTATTAAATACATTGTGTGTATCTGTTTTTATTTTTTATTTTTTAAATTTCAAATAATACTTTCAACATTATTAATATTTAATTAATACAATTAAATAATTCAAGTTTTATTATAAGCTAAATTATTAAAATTTTACTACTTTTCCGTGGCCAACTGCACGGGTTTCCACTAATGTATATGTATATATATATATATATATATATATAATTGAAAATATAATTTGAACAATGCGAACAATTGCAATTAGGAAAAAGATTATTGAGATGAGTTGAACGTTACTGATGCTGGGATTATACTACGTAAATGCAATTGTTCACAAAGAATGTTGTCAAAATTAGGTCAAATTATTCTAATTTTGTTTATTAGCAACTAATACTTTTTCGACCAATCAATGGAAAAAGCTATAAATCGGACACAATTTGAGCGTAATCGGTGAAGGAACAGTAGTGAGTCTTTTGAAAATTTCAGTAACATCGAAGCTCACTTGACTGACCAAACAGCCTGGTATGTAAGGACTTTATGAGGATGTTAATAAACATATCTAGAATGTACTGAAATAGAGACCGAATAGTTTAAAAAGGGGATTATAAAACGTTCATCGTGAAATCCAATAAAGAGTGCAGGTCAAGCTTGCTTTGCGAAGCGTCTAAGTCGCTGCTTCTATTGAAGATAACAGTAGTGGAGCTTACACAGCACCCCTTTTCCTCTGCAGGATAGAGATGAATCTCTCTCCTCACACTGCTAATGCAACAAAGACTTACTCTCCAACATGATGGCAGCTATGTTTTATTGCGTTAGTGTTAGAGCTTCTTTTCGTTCACAGGATATGCAAGCAGACAAGCCGATCACCAGAGAAGATGGGTACTGGAGGAGGATACCCCATCAGTGATCTATTACATTGATAATCGACGAAAAGACGTGCTCTATTCTTTAGAAAGCGAATATCTCTCGATTATTTCAGCGGAAAAGCAACATAAGCAAGTTGAGCAATTACATGATGAAAACATGCACAGGGATTAAAATTCATTCTGGAGAGGATAACACTTCCTCGCACACTACACGCCGCAGCAGTATCCTTCGAGGGTTCACTGAAACTACTAGTTGTTCAACTACATATTAACAGTAGGCTGGAAGAAATCGAGTGTTAAATTGTTGTGTGTTTGCTTTCTGGAATGAAGCATCTTATCATCTGCGCGGTCCAGACATGCACACCCCGATTTGGGTGAGATGCGTCTTGTTGTTGGCCCCGAAGAACCCTACCACGTACCCCTTGTTTTTGGGGGAAAAGAAGTGTGTCGAAGCTGGGTTCTCGAAGTCTCCCCAGATGTACTGGTTTTCGTTGCTGTCAAAGAAGGAAATGGAGTCAAGACCGTATCGATTATAAGTTCCTCCGACTCGCACGTATGGCATGTTGTTAGGGTCGTTCACTCTCCACACCGTCTACAAACAATCCGTATGTCCTCATTAGCACGTGTTGCAATTAAGCACTAGAGAAATCCTTGTCACACCTGGAAGGAACCGTCACTGAAGAATTTCTACCCCAACTTTATGTTTGGCTTTGCTGACGATGTTGCAAGTTGATTTTTGAAAGTTATGTGGGGATTTAAGGAAATGGCGATGGGAGGAGAAATGAAGTGGGAGACACAATTACCTTGGACTTCATTCTGCCGGTAATCGTTCCGTGGGCGAACTTGGCGTAGGAAGGAGTCTTCTTGTCTTTTGTTAGGAAGCTAACCCACTCAGTCTCGATGCCCTTGACACCCTTGGGCGTGAAGCTTATCAAAAACGAGGACATGTTAGCGTGCTGGCCATCCGACCATGCGGTGGAGCCTTTGGGCAGATTCGGAGGCCATGGGCCGAACTTCAGTTTGCAGTCTTGATACCTAACCGGTGGTCCTTCGACCCTCAACATGCGGGACGGTGCTCGTGTGCCATAGACTGTGTTTGCGACGCTAGCTGCAAGAACCTGGTGAACATGGCGATGCGCTTCGTTACACGAGTGGAGTACATGGAATAGGTCAATCAATGCTATCATGTGCAGCCTCGGACATTACTCAAATTGACAAACCACTCTAATCGATAAACATTGCGACATTGACTTTGTCCTAAACTCCTAATACATTGAATGTAATCATCCCACTTGAATTGTACTCTGTGAAGCTTACCACAAGCAACAACATCCTAATCGACGCCATAGCTTAGAGAATTGGATGCAACTCAAATGTTCACATCAAACTGGGGCACAGAGGTTATAATGAAAACCCTGAGTGGAGCTCCTTACAAGCATTCTTACATTGCAACACGGCCGAGATCAGCTGTGGGTTGACTATTGCTAGTCAGCTGCAATACCGAAGATTTGGGTCCCTTCTGGTACATGACAAATGACAACCGATTCCAGCCCCATCGTCCCCAGCTACACATTATTGTATCCAAACATGACAGTGTGAAGTTGGATTGTAGTGGTCATGAGAGCAGCGGTTTGTGAATTTGCACGGTTCATGTGGGAACCATTGCAGATTTAATATCCGGATAACGGAGCGATGACTTTTAGTGCACAAACTGAGTGAATTATTCAGGTACGTAAATCACGATTGCACTGGAAAAGTCAGGGTTGACTAAGAGTGGAGTGTACATAAAAGTAGTCGTAGCAGAGGATAAGTACGATTCTCGTAGTTGGCACTTCGGTGCCACCACCTGAAAGCTTGTTGACTTTGAGATCCACGCTACGTGTACAACGCCGACGAGACACGCATCTAAGCCTGGGGGGACCCAGCATACACAGATCGAAACCTCGGTCAACTCATCACAGATTCATAGGCTAATTCGATGCCTTCAATCGGTGCACGACCAGACTGATTGAATTCTTAGCACTACACAGATTTCATTGCACATTAAAAGCTCTAAGAATGGGAAAAGCATTGTAGACTTTACTCAGAAGAGGCTCTAGGCCAAACAAAATGATGCAGTAACCACAAGAACTGCTAGTGAATGGTCCCCAACCTAATAATTCTGGGCATTGTCAGCGAAGTCACAAGGGGACTCAAAATTAAAGAGAAGATAGCCCCACACACAAATTTTTAGTTCCACGTGCACATAATCTAGTTACCGCTATTAAATTCTTCGTACATAAACTACTCGAAAGGATCCCACTAATTGCATGCTACGGCTACGACAATACTTGAACCGAATCAAAGTTCCTTATGCGTTTGCAACAACTACACGATCACATTAATCGAAGGGACGGAGAATCACATACTCAACATTTGCCATCGGTGCTTCTTCATACCGATCAGGTTCTCCACCTCGTGGCTCCTCCTCCAAATGAATTTCTGCGGGCAGGCGACTCAGCTCCGGTCTCCACGCCCCGAGATGGCTTCTCTTTCGAATTTCCTGCTTTGGGACTTGGACTCCCTCGGTTCTGCAAGTTGAACGTAAGATGGTTAGAAAGTCACTTAGAACCCCTACACAAGGTAAGGTTCTGATCATTCCTGGTGCATCTCTTCAGCTTTATTCTAACATTACGAATTTCTCGCTCTTCTATTCGATCTAAAAATTGACGTGCCTGGAACGAGTGGGCCTTCTTTGTGACGAAGGTGGTCTTGGGAGAATCGGTTCCCTTGCTCGGAGGCGTACCCCCAATAGAATAACGCTTCGGCGTCTTGGCAGGGGATTCTGGGGTGTCAGAATTTCTTGTCTTCGGATTGCTGGATGACCGAAACTTAGCCTTGGCAGACTCAGTTGCAGCCATATAGCGGCATGTCGGTCGCTTGCTTGGGATGGGGCTATCTCCGTTTTCGCCGACCTTCTCTCCTTTCTTCACTTTGCTGTCAACGTTTTCCTGGTGTCCACTATTGGGGTGTCCATTGATGACGTCTGAGCATTAACGGCAACGGGTTTAGAATCATAACGAATGAACATTCTTCTCATGTTTGAACTGTAACTCACAATCAAAAGTAAATAAATAAAACATATCTTCGGGTACCGCCACGTAAAATGACGTCAAGCCGACTACCTGAGACTGAGCCCTTGACGCTTGGTGTGCCTTCCACAAGTTGATGTGCACCATTCGAAGCGGACAGACAGTCGCTGTGGTCTTCTCCATTCAACGCTCCATTCGTCGCTTCATTAGTGTCCCCTTCGTCATAGCTGTGCGCTTCTGGTAAGACCAAATGCTCCATAGTCACAGCTAGATCATCTTCTGCGGAATTCAGACCTTCTGACCTTCCGGGGACATGAAGCGATGCATTCATCGCTTGTGGCGAAGGCTGTAAATGCATTGATTCAGTGTCTGAGGATACTGGAGATGGGGGTGCTTTCTTAGTTTCTTGAGGAGTTCTTGGCCCCGAGAACTGTGAGGGTCTGTCTTCTTCCAAGCTTGGATGAGTAGGCACTTCAATGGGCGGTGGTTTGACATTTGCGCGATGCGTGTGTGAAGTTGGAGACGATGTGGGAGGAAGAGGTAATGGAACAGGCGTCGGTGCACGGCATTCTACTCCAGCACATCTAGGCTCTTTTTTCTCGGGCAAGGAGAACAACTGGGTTGACGATCTGTCAGTAGTTTCTTTTTTCTCGGACGCAGGGCATGGAGATGATCGTGTAGAATCCTTCTTCTCAGAGAAAGGGCTTGAAGGCCCGATGGGTTTCTTTTTCTCGTGAGTGTGGCTTGAAACTCGACCAGATTCTTTCTTCTCGGATAAGATATTCGAGGATTTGACACTGGCTGGATCCTTCTTCTCAAGCAAGGGACTGAGGCCTCGGGAAGACTCCTTCTTTTCAGGGATGGGACTAGGACCTTGGGCAGACTCCTTCTTCTCAGGCAAGGGGCTTGAAGGGGATCTGGACTTCGCAGGAGTGGGGCTAGAGATGCAGTCCTCATTACTCTTCACTTTAAGGGTGTTCACGTCCACCTCCTTTGTAGTGTATACCTTCGAGTTCTTCCGCGATGGGATGATTTCTATGAAGTCTTTTGAATCCTTGGAATCTTTTGACGTTTCTTTTGAATTCTTAAAACTTTTTGGCTCCTCAGCATTGCGTATCTCCCATGACCTGGCATTGGACCATAGCTCCAGCCATGTCCAACCCCAGTGAGGTTGGCTTGGGTCACAGTCAATGAACAATGAACCTTGGTTCGGAGCACTCCTCTTCAACTGCGACATAACTCCAACTCTGTGTCAGGTTTAACATGCTTCTGTAGGATCGATAGGGTAAATGCACTTGGAATCTCAGAAACACTACACAATGTGAATTGGAGCTTTGAACAAATATTGTGAGCACCATCATCCTTAACATATATTCTCCACTGAGAAAGGAAACTTTTGCACCCACGATCAGAAATTTTTATGGACGTGGAGTACCTGCTCAGTTAGGAGACTCCCCGTGGGTCGTTTCTGTTTGAACGTTTCATCTTCACGTCCGCTTGTCTGGGGCTGTTCAGCTGGTAATTCGCATCTACTTACAGTCTGAACAGAAAGACACCGTGAGCTGAGTAGGATGTGTATGTACAGGGTTCATTTTCTTCCAGATTTGGAAGGATTCCCCTATCCTACAGAGAATGCTCAAATGCCAGATCTGTGAGAGAAGTGGGCCATACCCCATGTAAGCCACCCCGAGTACTGAGTCGTCGCCGCTTTGATATCCTGCTTCGCACAGCCCGACCATCCTTCGACTTTCGAACAAGCCGTCCTCGATAGACAGATTGGACACGGACAATAGCTTCCATCGTTTGAAGTGTCGTGGATGCTTGTCTACGCACTTGATGTCCTCGGACCAATGCTTGAAGTTTTATTAATCCGTTCAACGCCTGTCAAACACACAACTATGAGATGGTAAACGCTTCTTCCCCTTGTACGCTGAACACAGTAATTGAACGACGGTGAGTTTCCACATCTGGACATTGAGGTCTTGCGTTCTCTGAATGGAAGGTTTGGCAACGTACCAAGGGTTCCGAAAAGCGTTGCTGAATCCTAAGAGCTGCCTCTTCTTCTTCACTCAAAGAGCTGTCATCATCGTCATCCTGTTGTTTGTGAACTTCTGTGTTATCCTCCACTCGTACCAAATTTTCTGATTCTTTTTCCTGAAGTTTAAGAGAAATAATAGAATCCACAGCTTCTGGCGTGGGCAGTGGTTGCCCTCGGCTCTGCTCAACCCCAACCTCGTCTTGAGTGACAATTTCATACGATGGGAGTGGATGAGGCGTTAGCACTTGGTGAGATGTCAGTGAGATGTCATGCTTGGCGAGGAGTTTTTGATCATTAGCATCAATCTTCTGCATTGGAAGTTTCACATCATTCAATTAGCTGAGTCGACACTACTTGTAAAACTCCGGTGCCCAGCAGTAGATTGAAGGTCTGAGAAACTCGAGCAATGTGAGTTATAGAAGCGAATACAACCAGCACCTCAATATTAAAGCATAAAGTTTCAGCTAAACGACCTATTAGAAAATTTGGTGTGATTTTCCAATGAACTTGCCATCCAGTAACGCAATCTGGACCCTACATTGTTCCATAACCTTACCGTATCCTGATCTGAAGTATGCGGTCTCTCCTTGGATGGTGACCGGAAGGCCTTCTTCACAGCTTTGAACCACTTAGTAGGCTTGTTTGATTTCCCCATTGTGCTCTACTCGCTGCTTCGACCTTCAGCCGCTTTCAAGAGCCTGCGAAAAGTAGCAATGTAATTTGAGAATCAGGCTCCCTTTTTGGGAGCTACATTTCCTACGAGGAACTTGACACCTTCGGCTGTAGACAATAACGGAGCATCAGCTAGCCGGACTGATGACTAACACTTGACAACAGATTATTTTCGTGTACCTAGATCACTTAGTTCCAGAATCGAAAAATGTCATCTTGAGGGATTAACTATTGTGAAGATTTAATCATGCAAAAAAATAAAATTAAAAATAAAAAGTAGAAAAAGATTCAAGGATTTAGAAGACGCAGCTTCAAGAAAGGTTTGCGGTCCAAATGAGCGGATGAACCAAATCATGAAACACAGAGTACAACCTCGGTTAATCTACTACAGATAGATAGGATTGAGTATTTGACTTTTAGATGTGCACGAAAGTTATTTTCAGTAAGACAGAAAAGTATAATGTAGGGCCTAGAGGCAAAGAAATGACTTGGCGAGAGACATAATGACTCTGATATGGCTTGAGAATCCATACCAGTATTTCTAAAACCAAAGACTACCGACTCGGACACCTTGAGAAATTTTGATTTTCAAATGAACAAAAGATAAGTATTTGGTCCTCAGAAGTAGCTAAACTCTTGGCCTTTCCAATGGAGCTGAGGATGAAGTCAAGTTCCACTGTTGAGAACACATCAGGGTAGACCATGTATACAGCAAGTTTTATGAAGGGTAGTTGATATCGACATCAGGAGGTAAAACTGGCATATCATGCCGAAAGCGAGCGCCCTGAGAAATACACTTAGCCTCGAAGAGTGGCAAGATTAAACTATTTTAAACTTCCCAGAAGAAGACTAAATCAAGCAAATATAGAATGCCTGCGGTTTATGCTTCACAATTCCTTGTAAACCATTTCAGTATCCAAATGTCCAAAAAAAATTAAGTCGCCACTAGTCAAGATTTCCTGCCATTCCAAGTTCTGTACTATCAATGTTCAAAGGTGATTCGTAAGAAGCTACAGTTTAAAGTAGAAGTCTTCGAGGAGCTTCATCGGGTAGCACCAGCAACACCCATTGAAAGACTTCGCAGCAGCGTTTATTGAACAAACCAAGCGAAGTGCCAATATCATTTATTGGCCTGATGATACCTCTATCTCTAGTGACTCGACAATTCCTACGATCTTTCGAAAACTCGATCTTCAGATTATTAATATGCACACCCATTTGTGACATTCATCTCTCCTGGAACACTTCACTTCAGTGGCAGGGAATGACTCACCATCCACCGTAGATGCAGGGCCCTGAAACAACCTCAAGGCGAAAGAAATCTTAAACCTTCTCCTTGCTTGAATGTCTTCCCATGAAAGAGCATTTCCAGTGCCTGCTACAAGGGATATGAAGACAACATTATCAACAACTAAAGACCCACTTCCAACGTAATAAAATGCCCTTCGGTACTGATGATTTCTTGGTCGAATAAGAGCTTTAGTCTCGGGCTCAGATGGGAGCGTCCGCTGAAAACATATTAAATCAAAGCTGCCGTCTGTGTTACACAAGATCCTGAGAGATAAACATGCTTCAGAGGTAACCGCCTCGGTAACTCTCAGAAATCTTCAGGCGCATCAGGTTCTACGCTTGCCTGTACAACAGGGACAAAACATCATTTCAGCAAATGAGACTAAAGAATTAAAGGGTCTCCATTGCAATACGTAAGCTCTTCCTTCAAGGGCATCAAACAAAGCAAAAACCCGGACTCGGATTGGAATCTGCAAATGTTGTCAGACAGCCATAGCCTGCCAAAGCTACACGAGCCGAGCGCCAACACAAAAGACAGTACATACAGATGCCTCTGTGTGTGTGTGTGTGTATCTGTACTCAGAAGACAAACAAATGCTAATGTCGTGGTATCCCCCACACAAGAAATCTCTCGCCCAGCAACAAGGTATCTAAAGGTCATGACGTACTCTGTCGAAGTCCTCTATGGCAGTCCGCAGCTCTTCCTTCCTGCACTTCGGGCATTACACTCCCCCGACCCCACAACCTTCAGCTCCCGAAGGCTCCAACATTCGAAACAACTCGTCAACATCTGTCCCCGAGGCCTACACCCATGACTTACACACAACCTTACACCTCCATTTCACGAAAACGTCTGAGCCATCTCGTTGCTGTGCATAGCATCATGACAAGCAAACTGTCGATCTGCAGAGGCAGCAATCACCGACCCCCTCCGTCGTGGCTCGTACGCTTTTCTGCCTGCTGGTCAGGGATTAATCTCAATCGCCCCAATTTTTCGGTAAGCTAAATTTACACCATCAAGGCACCTCTACCATCAAGGCACCTCTACGCCCAGGCTGTGGGCATTTCACTCTCTGGAGCTTCAGGGGAGACACCTTTTTCCCTGGTTCAGCCACTTTGTTGGCCACCTCCCTCTCATCACCCAGCCAGTCAGTTGTCATCATCTACTTGGGCGAGGTCTCCAGCAAATCCAGCTCCTCCGCTCAGTCACCCAAGCAAACCCTTGCAACAATCTTCTACATTGCCAGATCGTTACAGTCAAGCTACAGTAGTACCAAACCACTGTAAGTTCACTGCAGAGACTGGAGATAAAATAAATAAATAAATAAACTCTTTCTCTACACTCATCAAAGTCCTTAAAGCTACCAATATAATGTACGTCCTCAGCTACTCTACGCGATTGTCCGTCTATCTACCACAATCTCCTTCACGTTGTCTGCGTCCTCCAAAAAGGACGACGGAGGAAGGAAAAATTCGCTCTTTGCGTTGGTCCAGATTCTAAAACGAGAACTGGTTCTCTTGTTTAGACCCACTTTCTGCAACTTCCTGTATACTTTTTTACGTGAACCCCAACAGGAGATGGTGGATTTTTACATGACACCTGCCAATTTTTTTCTCGTATTCGTCAATAATTGACACTTCGAGTCAAACACACGTACAAGCAACTATTCCTTCCGATTCAAAGTAATACGTCATCACGGTGAGGCTATACCAAACGGCTTCTGACTATACGGTAGAAGAACGAACTGGCAACGTCGTCTGTGGGATCAGTCAATGCACATACGTGCGGATCGCTGCCTCTACACCGTATCGTCCACGACCAGAAGCATGTCAAGAGTAATTACACTGCAGAGGGGGTTGAGTTAGGATGAGTTCTTCGTACCTACTAACCATCATCCTGCTTGCTCCCGAATCATAACAAACAAGCAGATGAATAAGTTGGAATTGGTGATCAGAGACTATAACTTCAAAAACCCCTTGTAGTAACCCTCACTAGCAACTTGCTGGTGAAACGGTAAAGACGACTGAGATAGGTTAGTGTGGGATTGATCTCGCAGAATCCTCCCCATTGAATGTTCATAATTTCGGAGGGTCTTGTAACTCGTTCCCTCTGCCTGCTATAGATTGTGCATTCTAGACCTACTGTCTACGTGTGGATCCCTGAGCTGGCTAAGAAACTGCAGAAATTAGCAAGAGTAAAAGCCAATTGAGATTGGCTTGATGATCCATTCCTTTCTCATGACTTCCATTTTGGTAGATTCCCACTAACCTGGCATGGGGTGGAGGGCAAGGTACATAAGCTTGTTTGCATCTTCTTCTTTTGAGCCACATACACAATCATTGAGACACACACACACACACACATATATATATATATATATATATACCCACTTCAGTTACTTAGGGCAGTGTGTTTCATAAACTGGGATCTCATGCTTCTTTGGCATGTGTATCTTATTAAGTGCAAGTGCCACACCTTGCCACTTTATAAATCTGCAAGTGGCAAGGTGCAGCACTTTATGTTCTGTGTCTTTTTGAAGATTTTGCACTGCTTTTCATGTCCTGTGACAGATTGTAACTGATGTTTGAGCTCCACTTAAAATGGTTGTCATGAAGAGAAAGCTGAAACTAGGACATCCCTTCTGATGTAAACTGTCTCCCTGAAGTTACCATGCCTGCTTTCATCAGGAGTATCAGTAATTCAAAGGTTTTGTATGCTAAATATTGAACTAGGGAAGCATTTAATGTAGAGAGCCTTATTGAATACAGCAGGGTTGTGAATCTGCTTTAATTCATTTCACTCAAAGTTTGAATCATACGGAAGCCTTTCATGAGCTGAATGAACTTCATTTGAATTGTAAAGTATCAAAGGATCATACCTTGTTTTAGTCTGCAATGAATTGTGGGCTTCACCCCCCTGCCAACAATAATAAAGAATTAATAAAATGAGGAAACAAGTTGGAGCTAAATTGGTCCTGATTCGAAATTTTAATGTTTTGTGTTGTTCTGAAAATAACCCTCCGGAAAATATATATGTATATGTAACAAAAACTTGAAATAGAAATGGAAGCAACTATAGTATTTTCTTTTTCTTTTTCGTTTTTCTGGAGGGTTGTTTGTTTCTTCTATGAGATTTCCTCTGTTATTTTCAGCGTCACAATGTATCTTTAAATAATAAATACAAATTATGAAGTTGATTTTACTTTTTAATTTACTAAAATTTCAAATTTACTCAAATATTTTGGTGCCCATACATATAATTCTCCAATTTTATCTTCAAACTACTTATTAATGCTGTTAGTATTATTTGTGGACTATCTTATTTTTATTACTGTTGCTATTACTATCTTTGAATACTTGTAAAAGTATTTGGTTGGTGTGTATGTATATATATACACATATATGTGTGTGTGTGTGTGCGTACATATGTTATCCAATATCTTTCTCCCTATCTCTTTTTACTTTGCTCTTTGCCACATACTGCCAATCCTTACTATGTGCTAACAAGTGCTTAATGTACCAATCTCCCTGTAGAAGTTGGACTTTGTGTGTTACAGCCAAACTTGCACTCACACACACACAATTTTTTTTGTGTGTGTATATATATATATATATATATAATACTTGTTGCACTTTTCTAATGTTAAAATTGACTGCTCATAAATTCTCCACAATGCACACTTTGAGGGTGTCAAGAAGATCAAGGATTTTGAACTAGGGTCATGAGAGAAATCTAGTTTCTGGTCTAGAATTTTGAAATTGAATTGTGTTTGCAAAATTAATACTGACATTACAAGTTTGTAGCATTGAGTACAATGTGTAGATCAAGGCCATCTTCTTACACTCCACTTAAAGCATATCACTATGCAGTCTCTGGGCTTTAGTAATGAAAGCAATTGTTTTAAAAAATGAACGAAAACAAAATAAAATAAAAATGCAGAGAGATACTTCTTCTAGACAAGTATTGAGTAGAAAGCAGTGAGAAGAGCATCAAAAACTTTATGGTTTTTATCCACTGCACCTAAGTGTCATGGATGTAACAACACCCTAGAGATGGGGATGACAAAGTGTCAGATTATCCTGGATACATATATATATATATATATATATACACACTGAAGTTGGATGATTGAAGCAGACACAATTTCCTTCAGCAAATGCAATGCAAGTTCTTTTAACCAAGACAAGAATAAGAATAAGAATGATTCCATCTCTGCACAACCCCATGTGCTAGCCACCTTGTAACACATTCCTTCAACTTGCCCAAAAAAAAAATGCATAAAACAAGCTGTTTATATTATACATGGCAATGTAACAAAGGGAGGGGGGGGTATTATTAATATTATACTTATGGACTTTGAGGGTTTAGACAGGCAGAGAGGTTAGATGAGCTGCAGTAGAGGAGGGGCCATCAAAGTCACAGGGTGATTTGTCTTTTACACCTACTGAAACTACAAAACAATGGCCCTTCACAATACTACTACACTCACAAATCCCAGATTTTTGTATATACAAACATTTGTAGATATCAGAACATGCACAAGCTGGATACTTGGCACTGCTGCTGGGACTGTAAAGGTTCAATGAAAAGTTTTTATAATAAAGATGGGGGGCCAAGGCAAACAAAGGAAAAGTATGTGTTGAGATTCGTCTGCTGCTTACCTCCAATGCCATCCACATTCCTTGCCACACATTCCCATCTCAGCACACTCACTCACACTCACCCACTGTTTGCAAACACAGTAAGCAATTGTGGGTTACCTGTGCTGCAATGAAAATTGTTACCACAAATTATTCACCTGGGCAACTATACATACACAGACATCTTCATGTGTGTGTGAAGAGATAGGATGGAGTAAAGCTTCTTTTTCTTTTGCAACAAAGCTTGCAAAGCATTTAGCTTGGTTAATTGGAAGGTGGAGTTCTGAGACAATGACAATATAGAAGTGACACTGGCAATCCTATATATATATATACATATACATATGTGTGTGGGGTTGGGGTTGAATTACAGGTCATTCAACAGACAGGCTAAGGGATCAGTGGCAGAGCTTGGATCAGCTGTGGCTCTGTCTGTCAGCTGCAAGGCCGCTTCTCGCTCTCTCCCCATAAATACTAAGTTAAAACCCAGTTTCCTCCTCTTCCACCACAACCTGCAGAATTCTCATCACACCCATACCTCTCTCTGGTGCTTTCCTTGTCAGAAGCAGCAGCACTGGCTGTTACCCTTTTGTTTATGCAGGTATTGCCCACATTATGTGGTTGCACAGCTGGAGGGCTATGATACCCATCTGATGGAGACTCTCTTCAAAATAACACTTACAACAAACATATCTTCTTTCAGAAAAAACAGATGGGTTTTACTCAATAGACACACAGCAGCTAAAGAGAGACACAAACATCCCTTCTGACGGGTCAATTTTTTTCTTCTTCTTCTTCTTCTTCTTTCAATCAACTATAATCATAACTTCTACTCCCTGCAAATATCTCCAAACTAGAAAAAAAAAAAAAAAAAAAAAAAGTTAATTAAAACTCACCTGAAATTTGTGACAGTTGTCTCTGAGGTCATCAACAGAAACCATTGCAAGGAGGTTAACAACATAGGAAAGTGAGATAGCAGTCGGCAAAAGAAAAAAGATACACTCCACATAGATATATGAGAAATTAATTGACATGTACCTAGAACCTCCATCTAGAGTTCCATTCTCTTCAGATTCTTTTAAAAAAAATCTGTTGTTGTTTTTTTCAGTTCTTTTTTCCTTCCTATTCAGAGGAGGTTTTTGAGAGAGGAACTTTTCATCCTGTTCCCAAAGCACGCAGTGAACATGGGGAATGTCAGGGGAACAGGGGGGGGGCATGTGGGGAACAATGTGGTCATCCATCTGTGATTGGGATTAACGCTCATCCCCAGTGCCGCACTTCCTGCTGCTGCTATTGCTGCAGAGAGCGCTCTATTATCATCACCCCCACCCAATATTGTCAGAGGCCCATCAACTGTGAACCAACCCCAATTTTATTGAAAGAGGAAAGTGAACGAAAAAGAACAAATAAGAAGAAGAAGAAAATTGGGTTGTCCAGCTTGGCCAGCTTCACATTTGTGTCCCATATAATCATAATGGTAATAATAATAATATGTCTGATTGGAACCCATCTTTCTGGTCAGAGGGAAGATTATTTGATGTTTGGGAGATCAATGGGGTTGTGTGTTTGGCTTGGGGATAAAACTTGAGAGGGACATCCAATCCA